TTTTTTTTTTTTTTTTTTTTTGTCGTTCTCGTTTCCGCGAGGAATTCAGGAATCGATGGAAATGTTGTGCAACCCGATGCCTGATTCTATCTACTGTGGTGATTTATCGTGACACGATGAATTTCACAGTCAACTTTCAACATATAATTTTCCATTGTTGCGATTTAATTTATATTTTCGAATTATTATACGTATACACAAATGGTGGATATATAAAACGAAATAACAGGAGTTTCATAGGATATAACGTACAATTTTTTGTATGATATGGCGGGCAGACATCCGCTGGATGATCAATTATACATTAAAATTTCAATGGATTCAACGATTCAACATTTCTGTATCCTTCCCCATGAAAATTTTTCATGAAATTCACACGGGATATATTTTACTAGACGGTATGAATATTTATTTTAAATGTTAATGTCCCTTCTGTTTCACTTTTTTCCCCATCCTCGTTTCGTAATTTTTAATTATTTGTTAAAAAGGAAAATCGTCGATTCAGAAATATTTTCACAGAAGATATTACTAAATAAAACCCGTGTATAGTCAATTTCTCTGAAATTTCGTTCAAAAAGCTGGAAAATATTTGATCTGGAAAACAAAACAGAAAAAAAAAAAAAAAAAAAGGAAGAAATTTTTCATCACACAGAAAAATCCAACAGGCAAAATGGACGCAAGTTTAATTGGTTGCTCGCAGTTACTCTTGTCGATCTAAATGGTCAGTGTAACGAAATTATTCTCGTTTTCTTTTTTTTTTTTTTTTTTCGATTAGCTCCGCGAACATGTCATCCTCGTAATAAACGCGTTTCACTTTCGTCTGTCGTTCCATCGTCAAAAGAATTCTCTGGAGTGTGAATCGTCATTTCCAGGTAATCGTTTATGCCAAGCCATTTAATTAATCGTAAAAAAAAAAAAAAAAAAAAAAAAAAAAAAAGGAAGAAATTTTTCATCACACAGAAAAATCCAACAGGCAAAATGGACGCAAGTTTAATTGGCTGCTCGCAGTTACTCTTGTCGATCTAAATGGTCAGTGTAACGAAATTATTCTCGTTTTCTTTTTTTTTTTTTTTTTTTCGATTAGCTCCGCGAACATGTCATCCTCGTAATAAACGCGTTTCACTTTCGTCTGTCGTTCCATCGTCAAAAGAATTCTCTGGAGTGTGAATCGTCATTTCCAGTTAATCGTTTATGCCAAGCCATTTAATTAATCGTAAAAAAAAAAAAAGAAAGAAAGAAAAAGAAAAACGAGACTAAAAAACCAATTTTGCATTGCAATAATCTTGCAACGAAATTTCTCCTGAAATTCATCGTACGCTTTGTCGTTCGTTTATTCTTATCGCGTATACAAATTACACACGCTTCTTACGATACTTCTTACACGAAATTACCATTAATCATTCTCAGATGGATCGAGCATATACAAAATTCGCGTGTAATTATCATCGATCGAGCAGCCAGTGATTCATTAAACGATCCCTAGAAGACCCATAAACTCATTTTTCTTATTCACCGTGACGTCTTGATAGAAGTTCACCGCATTGGAAGGTGATCGTTCGTGTAACTTGCCCCCTTAAAGAGGCGAGGAAAAGGAGGTAATTAGCGTGGATCGGGTTTCGCGGAAATTCATTTTCGGCTTCATGAAACGCGACGTATTACATCATGGAACGCTAAATATCGCAAAAGATCTATCCTATTCGGGCGGTAGATATTTCGTGAATGGGTTCCTTTCCTACAAACTGATGCAATCCATATTTCACGTAGTTTATAACAAGAGAGAAGGATAACAATGCTCTAACGTTGAGCCTAACGCTAGTCAGCCAGTAGTAAAAGTCAACGCTTCAACATCCATTCTATATCGAGCCAATTTTGTACGTTACGTTTCGTTCTCCATTAATAAAGATAATTGTGCGTTAAAATAGAAAGATCAAAAAAATCATGTACAAAAATAGTTTCATAGTAGTCATCAGCCAGTAGTAAAAGTCGACGTTCTAACATCCTTTCCAGTTAATTTTAAAGATACGTTTCGTTCTCAATTAGCGGAGATAATTGTTAAAGAAAAAGATCGTTAAAGAGAAGATAGAAAAATCGAAAAATCATCTTTACAAAGCGAACCTTGATCTATAACTTTTTTTCTTTTTTTTTGAAATTATACTCATTAATAATCTCGCTACGTGCTTTGAATATTTATTTCGCATTTTCTCTCTATCCCATGAATAATTGAACATAAACAAAAAACGGTATTCGATAAACAAACGACGAACGAATAAATCGTCATAAATGACGTTCAAAGCTTTCTGCGTATATACCTAAATTTCGCGCGGTATATTAAACGATGTACATCGTTTAGCGTAATTCTCATAAAAAGAGTTTACGCACGAAGGACGCGTCCTCGCACGACATGTTTGATTGGCACAATATTTTTTTTCGTGGCCATTCGAAACTCGCGCCGAATAATGGCCGCGCGCAAAGTAACGCATTGCTCGGTATTTTAATGCGTTCATGAGCTGCGAACGAAGTTAAT